TGTAATTATGATCCCCACCCCCCCTCTCTCTCTCTCTTAGTAATCGATCTTACATTTACCAAGTATGTCACAACTCACATCTTTTTGAGCAAGACGAAGTATGTTGCATATTCTAATTTTATTTGTTGTAGTGTTTTCCTTATCTCTGTGTCGGGGTTGTATAATCACTCGTGTGAAACTGGAAACAACTGGGTGTGTAAGTACTTCTAAAATGTTGTAAGGTGAGACGAATTAAGTATGAGAAAAGGTGGAATTGAGAGAGAGAGAGAGAGAGAGATGAAGAAAATGGAGGGTGGATGTGAATGAAAAAGTCGGTGGTAAAAATCTTAGAAATGACACCTGAAAATTGGTATGGTCCAACTCCATGTTGGTTATAAGCTGAAGTGTAAAAATTTTCCTATTATACCTGGTATATTATAAAATACCCCTCTTCTCGAGCTGGGGTTACTGACAAATTAGTGCTAGGACCTTTTAAATCATCTTTTCCTTGTGCAAACTTTCTTCTGCTCATTTGAAAGGGTTATCTGGCTAACTTTTATCAGTTCAATTATTGAAACTAAGGTTAAGCTACTGTGTGGATCTAGTATGATGTTGGTATCGTGGGTATGTTTTTTGACCATCTACTTATCTCCTACTGCTCATTCAGAAAATTACAGATGATGACCTGATAGCATTAATGTCAGATGAAGTTTTCCAGCCTCAATTTGTTTGGCAACTTGAAAATGTACAGGTAAATGTCATTGTTGACTACATTTACATCGGTTTTATTTAATTTTCTGACTTAGATCTGGATTGGGAATGATAGTTCAGCTGATCAAAAGAGTTCCTGTTCGATGGACAGGTTACATGTGGAAGTCTTGGCCTTTCTACGGCAACTGTTAAGCTCATTGACGCTGATGGTCAAGAGCATGTTTCTTGTTCTGTTGGAACGGGGCCAGTTGATGCGGCTTATAAGGCAGTTGATCTCATTGTAAAGGTCTGAAATAGAAATCGAATTTCCTAATAATCTTGTCATTAGGACTCGTTGATTGCAAGCTGATCTGTTGGTTAATGTTCAATTTTGAAATGCTCATTCGGTAGAATCTCTCTTTTATGCAAATCATCAAAATTATACAGATACTGATTTTGTGTTCTCCCCTGGCTATATATGCGTCAGGTTGGATATTTGTTGAGCAAAGTATTCGAAAGCACATGATTTTGGATTTAATGTCTTGTTGAGTCCTCTTACATGTATCCTTTTTGTCATCATCTGTTCTACAGAAAAAAATGCCTTCTTTTCTGACCGTTCTCTTGTTGTGAAAGAGGTCAGGTCAGCCCAAGTATATGGAGTTGTACTTAAAAACTATGACTAGAGTTCCATTTCAAAATTAATAACCACATATGAAGTCCTTTCTTAAAGCTAGTCCAACCCTAACTCAGCATCCAGCAGACCAGCACTGAATTCAACAATGACATACAGACGGCCAAATTCCGCGTAACAAGTGCCTTCTATTTTACTCTAATGCATTGTGAAGAACCTATCGAGAGCCATTTCATCATGTTCCACATAAATGATCAACCTACTGGCTTTATAATAGTTTCTAAAAATACGTGAAACTGTGTTAAATAACCATTTTGAGTGAAAAATCTACATTTTGAACTTGTCTTACAAGCAGATTTGGCTCTAGGAGATGGTATTTGGCTCTAAAGCAGTAGTCAATTTTTGGTTTTCAGTTATTCATCTTTTTTTACTGTTTGTGGGCTCTTTTATGAATGTAGTGTTCACCCATTATGCAGGTACCTGTAGCACTCCTTGAATATTCCTTGAATGCAGTCACGGAAGGTATAGATGCCATAGCTTCAACCAGAGTTTTAATTCGTGGGGAGAATGGCCATACATCAACCCATGCTTTAACTGGAGAGACTGTACACCGTTCTTTTAGGTATGAAATGTACCGGCCATGTTGTTTCATCTAATCTTATTTGCCATCTTTCTTTGATAGAACATAGGAAATACGGAGGGTGTGTTGGTGAATTTTGGAATCAAGGACATGACACGGAAGTGAAATGAGCCAAAGTGATATGTTTTTTCTATAAAGCTAACTATGCATAACCCAGATTTAGGGCTAACACATGAATAGAAAAATGCTGTATGAGAACTATGATCGATAGCAGACGTGGATATTTAAATGGAAGATATTTGCATAGCATGAATATATCAGCTGAAGCATAGCCATAGTAGACATCAGATTCATGTTTCTGCCACTGCAACATCTCTCCCCTCCTCTTCGGAAATACTGCTCCCAACAGTTATCCCTGTACCCCCAGGTCCTTTCTCCAATCTTTATTTCGTCATTTGACTTATCCAGAGGGAAGACCTGTGTCAGTGTATCCAGCAAGTTGGGGAGTTAAACTTCATAGTAGACCGACATGATTGGCTGGATGTCAAACATGTACCCGGCATATTTTCGACCTACATATAGCTAATGCACATACATTATGTTTTCTGGCGAGTCCGTAAATTATTGTTTTTTACCGTAAATTATTGTTTTTTCTTTTCTCCTATTAGAAATGTCTTATACGAGTTGTAAATTCTGGCTTCCAGTACAGACTCTGTGCTGATGATTTGATTGATATTTGGGATATGTTGCTTTCTCAACCAAAAAAGTCTTATATGTCTACTCTCTTCTTCCACAGTGGAACCGGAGCAGATATGGATATTGTTATCTCCAGTGTCCGAGCCTATATTGGTGCATTGAATAAGATGTTGAGTTTCAGAAAGCTGGTATCGAAACACAGCAAACCTGAAGGCAGTGCAGTCGTATAGACATCCGGTATGATCGAGTTTATGGTTCTTATGTCTCTTGTGACTGTGCTGCAGCTTTATCAATTGTACAGAAGTGGGGAGGCTGTCCAAAGAATTTTGACCTACCTGTATTCTCATTTTTAGAATTGTGGCGGCCAAAGAGATGTCATACGCCCTATCGTTTCTCCAATCCCTCTCCATTCTTCTGCATGTTGATGTATTACCTGTTGTTTACATCTTAATTTAAGTGCCTGTTAGTGCTTGAAGATCATCTAAGTTTTGTGGTATATCTGGTAAACATAGACACACTGTTCATATAAGATGTGTTTGAGGGGTGGGTATCGGTTGGTTCAGAAGTTCGGTTCGATTTTTTTGGTTTTCGATTTGCGATTTTAATAATCAAAACCAAACCAAAGTATTTTTGGTGCGTTATTTTCGGTTTTTATTTTTCGGTTTTAGGCTTGTCAAATTGGACTTCTTTCTTAAGCAATAAATGAGCCTCAAAATTAAATTCTTACAAAGTTTATGAGGCTCAATGCATGTGCCTAGCAAATTGTCCTACCATAGTCTGCTATAACATAAAATTTAAGTAGAAAATAATAAAATATGCACTAAGAATATATGCTTATTGTATTTGCTAAGAATCTGTAATAATGAGTATTTTTTTATTGTTGAATTTGCAATTTAATATTTTCTTAGTAATAGCTCTTATGATTTGCACATTAACGGAAAGTAACAGAAGAGATTTATGTTATCATCGGGGAACCAATAGATATCATAATTTATTGAATAATGATCATGGTGGTTATTAATTTTTGGGTAGCGTGACTTTGGGGTTGAATGAGTTTCTGAAAAGTGTGGCATTTGGAGTTTGGACTTCAACATTCACTAACAATTAATAAATGATTGGCCCCATCAAACATTTCCGGATCAATCTGAATTCATTGCAAATATAACAAATACAGACAATGAATTATAAATAGATGAAGAAAAGTTCTAAAACGCTGTTTCAACAAAAATGACAGTCACTATGAGCAAATCAGCAGTAAAATATACTACAAATTACAAAAAGTGAAGAGTAGAATAAAGAGTAGAAAAGAAAGGAGTAAGAAAGGAGCGCACAGGTAGGTAGCAGGAAGAAGGAGACGCCTGATGTTGTAAAAATTAGGGTATATGTTAAATAATTTAAAAAATATGAGTATAGGTTAAATGGGGGCGACCAAATGGGGAGCCACATGCAATTTTTACTAACATGTTAGACTTAAGAGTAAAGATGAGCTCAGAGGCTATAGGATCCATACTTAAAAAAAAAATCAGTTTTTCGGTTAACCGAAAAATCAAAATACTAAAACCTAACGCCAAACTTTTAAAAAATATAAGCCGCAAACTGACCGAAAAACCCAACAAATTGAACCGAATAACCCGAAATTATCTGTTCGGTCGGTATTATATGCTCTTGCTTTACTAAATTATGGAATTTCATTCTAGGTTAATTGCACAAACCTCTTTTGAGTTTTCCCCTAATCCCATGGGTTTTACAAATGTTTCTGAAATTACTGGAGTCTCTTGTTTTAAAATTACATTTAGCGATATTCTTACACTTGCAACTCCCTAACGTTTTGCCATTTAAAGATGTGTTATAGCCCGTTTGGCCAAGCTTCTTAAGAGGTAGGTCAAAAGTGTTTTTTTTTCTTTCAAAAGTACTTTTTCCCTCCTAATTTGAGGTGTTTGGCCAAGCTTTTTCTTGGGAAAAAGTGTTTTTGGAAAGAAGCCGAAGCAGTTTGTGAGAAACAGAAAAAAGTAAAGCAGAAGCAGAAGCAGTTTTGACTTTTCTTCTTACTAAAAATACCCTTAACAAAATATAGTATATACCAAAGTAATCGTTAAACGTAATACTTAGGATATTAATGTATACGCATTTCTTCTTATATAACTTTCTAATATATAGTGACTTTAGGGGTGAATGCTTTTATATTTATTGAATGATTTTTAATATATTTAATTTATATTAAAAGAATTAGGTACTTTTTAATTTTATTTTCATATTTTACTTAAATAAAATGAAAAGATTTAATAATTGCCTGTAATAACAAAATTTTGAGATTATTTATTTACTCATAATATTAACTATTAAGTAAATCTATTCATGTCCTTATTCATAATTTGATACTTAAAAGCACTTTCTGAAAAGCTTGGTCAAACACAAATTATTGTTTAAAAGTGCATTTTAGAGTGATTAGCCAAATACAAACTGCTTCTCTCCAAAAATATTTTTTTAAAAAGTATTTCTCAAAATAAGTTGATTTCTCCAGTTTGGCCATACATGCTATTAAACTGAAAGTGAACAACTTTACCTTCACTATTCCCTTATTTTCAATTAAGTCCTCATCAAAGAAGATGGAATCTTATGAAGTAGGTGTCGATAATTCCTAGTCTTTAAATTATTCAATCTAATATATACTTTTAATCCATGTTTGGAAGCAAAGGCTCAAAATTGCTCTACTCTTCTCACTCTCTAACGTTCACCTGCTAACGGTGCTCATCTCCATCGTCGCTCAATTGTCGGCGAGTCACAGGTAAGTCCACCCTTCCTTTCTCGTTCCTTCTCCCTTTCTTTTCTCTCTTTCCCTCTCTTGCTTTTCTTTCTCTTTCCTCTTTTTTCGTTGTCCTTTCTTCTGGTGTGACCGGTGCCGGCAGATTTCCGGCGAACACCGGCGACGACAATTCCCCCTTCGAGTTCTTTCCCCTCTTCTATCTTCCTCTTTTTCCCCTCTCATCTCTCCTTTCTTTCCCCTACGCCTTCTCCCCTCTATATTTTCTCCCCTATCTCTCTTTCCCCCTTCTTTCTTTCTCCTCTCTTTCTTCCCTGCTACCCTCCCCCTCTTTTGCCTTCCCGTTTAACTTTGCTGCCCACTGTATAGTGGCAGTAGAGGCAGCGGGACCATCTTTTTCTTTTTTCGTCTCCTTTTCTTTGTCTAGGTCAATCAGAATAGTGCTTAGGTTCACGGAGGCGGCGATTTCAGCAGTTGCACCCAGCGGCAATGGTGGTGCGTGGCGGTAACCGATGTCAAGTTATATTTCCAGGTTCTTTCCATCGGGAGTTGGTACCTCCCGATTTCTTGTATCTTTCTTTATGCTAGTTAAATTGTGACTATTTAGTTAGCATCAAGCATATTATTAGAGCATTTGTAGTTGCTACCTGTTATTTCCTAGTTTGGGTCTGTGTTAGCGTTTTCTGGAGTTTGTCGTAGGTACTGTGGTCTGGGATGGTAGAGTAAGGTCATGTCCTCGAGGGGTGCCGGGGGTGAGAAGTGGGTTGGGGAGGGGGTCAGTGGATGGGACGAGAGGCAATGAGGGTAAGGGGAAAGAGGGAGCTTGTAGATTGAGGATCGGGTCGTGAAACATAGGCACGCTGACGGGTAAGTCTATTGAGCTGGCAAAGATTCTCCAGAAGAGGAATGTTAATATAACTTGTGTCCAGGAGACTAGGCGGGCAGGGTCGAAGGCGAGGAATGTGGACGGGTATAAGTTGTGGTACGCTGGAGTCGTGAGGGGTAAGAATGGAGTGGGTATCTTGGTGGATAGGGATCTTAAAGAGTCTGTGGTGGAGGTTAGGCGAGTGAATGGTAGGCTAATATTTATTAAGTTGGTGATTGGTGAGTGCACCCTCAATGTAGTTAGCGCTTACGCGCCGCAAGCGGGCTTGGAGGGTTTGGACGAGATTGTGCAACAGTATTCCACCTACTGAAAGGTTATTTATTGGAGGAGATTTTAATGGCCATATTGGGTCAGCTGCTGGTAGTTATGGCAAGGTACATGGCAGCTTTGGCCTTGGAGTTAGGAACGGAGGAGGTACTTCTTGTTAGACTTCGCCAAAGCTTTCGAGCTGGTGATTGCGAACTCGACTTTTCCAAAGAGGGAGGAGCATCCGGTTACTTTCCAAAGTTCGGCGATGAAGACTCAGATTGATTACTTTCTCCTCAGAAGGTGTGATAGAGGTTTGTGCAAGGATTGCAAGGTTATCCCGGGAGAGACCCTCGCGACTCAGCATAGGCTCTTAGTGATGGACGTCGACATTATGATGAAGAGGAAGAAGAGGTATGCTCGTGGCCGACCAAGGATTAGATGGGGAGCTTTAACCAAGGATAAAGCCCAGGAGTTGGATGTGAGGTTATCCGCTATGGGAGCTTGGAGGAGTAATGGAGACGCGAGCACTATGTGGTCAACGACGGCGAACTATGTGAGAGAGGCGGCAAGAGAGGTGCTAGGGATATCGAAGGGTTTTTTTGGAAGGCACCAAGGTGACTGGTGGTGGAATGACATAGTCCAAGGTAAAGTGGAGGCAAATAAGGTAGCGTACGCGAAGTTGGTAGGGAGCACAAACGAGGAGGAGAGGAGAGCGAATAGAGAGATATACAAGGTGGCAAAGAAGAAGGCAAAGCTGGCGGTCATGGAGTCCAAGAATGCAGCATTTGGCCGCCTATACGAGGAATTGGGGGAGAAAGGCGGGGACAGGAAGTTGTTTCGGCTGGCTAAAGCGAGGGAGAGGAAGGCCCGCGATCTGGACCAAGTAAGGTGCATCAAAGATGGGGATGGTAGAGTATTGATGGGAGAGTACCAGATTAAGTAGAGATGGCAGACGTACTTCTATGGCCTTCTGAACGAGGAGGGGGACCGGGATATAGCGCTAGGGGACTTGGGGCGTTCGGAGAGTCTCCGAAATTTTAGATATTGCAGACGCATTAAGGTGGAGGAGGTCGTGGGGGCTTTGTGTAAGATGAGTAGGGGTAGAGCGACCGGGCCAGATGAAATCCCGGTTGAGTTTTGGAAGTGTGTGGGTAGAGCAGGATTGGAGTGGTTGACTGGGTTGTACAATGTAATTTTTATAATTTTTGGGACGAAGAGGATGCCTGAGGAGTGGAGGTCGAGTACAGTGGTACCGTTGTACAAGGACAAAGGTGATATCCAGTGTTGTAACAATTATAGGGGTATCTTACTTAGCCATACCATGAAAGTCTGGGAGAAGGTGGTAGAGGTGAGGGTGAGGAAGACGACGTCTATATCCGACAATCAGTTTGGGTTCAGGCCGGGTCGCTCCACTACGGAAGCTATCCACCTTATTAGGAGGTTGGTGGAACAGTACAGGGATAAGAAGAAGGATCTGCACATGGTGTTTATTGACTTGGAGAAAGCATATGACAAGGTCCCCAGGGAGGTGCTCTGGAGATGTCTTGAGGCAAAGGGCGTGCCAGTGCCTACATAAGAGCAATCAAGGACATGTATGATGGAACTAATACTAAGGTTAGGACTGTGGGAGGCAACTCAGAGCATTTCCCGTTTGTTATGGGATTACACCAAGGCTCTGCACTTAGCCCGTTCTTATTTGCCTTGGTGATGGATGCATTGACACACCATATTCAAGGGGATGTGCCATGGTGTATCTTATTTGCTGATGACATAGTTCTAATTGATGAGACGAGAGTCGGTGTTAACGAGGGATTGGAGGTTTGGAGACAGACCCTCGAGTCTAAGGATTTCAAATTGAGCAGGTCTACAGAGTACCTGGAGTGCAAGTTTAGCGTTGAGTCGAGGGAAGTAGGTAGGGACGTGAGGCTTGGATCACAGGTCATCCCCAAGAGAGATAGCTTCAAGTATCTTGGTTCGATGATCCAGGGGGGACGGAAAGATCGACTAGGACGTCACTCACCGTATAGGGACGGGCTGGATGAAATGGAGGCTTGCATCTGGAGTCTTGTGTGACAAGAAAGTGCTACCGATTCTCAAGGTAAGTTTTGTAGAGCTGTGGTTAGACCGGCCATGTTGTATGGGGCAGAGTGTTGGCCGGTTAAGAACTCCCATATCCAGAGGATGAAGATAGCAGAGATGAGGATGCTGAGGTGGATGTGCGGGCACGCTAGGATAGACAAGATTAGGAATGAAGATATTCGGAAGAAGGTGGCGTGGCCCCTGTGGATGACAAGATGCGGGAAGCGAGGCTCAGATGGTTCGGGTACATGCGGAGGAGAAGCCTTGATGCTCCGGTGAGGAGGTGTGAGCGGTTGGCCGTGGTGGGTACGAGAAGAGGTAGAGGGAGGCCTAAGAAGTATTGGGGAGATGTGATCAGGCAGGACATGGTACGACTGTAGATTTCTGAGGACATGACCCTTGATAGGAAGGTTTGGAGGTCAAACATTAGGGTTGTAGGTTAGGGGGTAGTAGAGCTTTCCTTACTTCATACCGGGGGTGAGACGGGGTTGGATTAGGGTTGATCTTAGATGACTTGCAGTTTATGTTGAATCCACACTATCGTTGCTGTTTATCTTAGCCTCGGGCCTTAGTTACTGGTTACTGTTATTGCATGTCATTTATCTTTTTGTTGGTATGCTTCTGTTACTATTACGGCTTCTACTGGAGTTACTATGAATTGTCTTTTCTTGTTTTCTGAGCCGAGGGTCTATCGAAAACAGCCTCTCTGCCCTATCGGGGTAGGGGTAAGGTCTGCGTACACATTACCCTCCCCAGACCCCACTTTGTGGGATTTTACTGGGTAGTTGTTGTTGTTGTTGTTGTTATGGATTGTGCCTTCGATATGCTTTCAAAAGAGTATTAAGAACCTTTTGAGAAAAGTTGTCAATTTTTCCAATTTATTTTTTCAAACAAACACCTCTTGGCGTTTATTTGTTCAGAATTTCAATTCCTTTTAATATGATTACGACTATTAATTTATTCTCATAAATTTTCTTTTTTGAGGCTTTTTGGAGGCAGAGCTACTCTTGAACTGTAATTTGGTAATGACAAATTAAGGAGAGAGTGGGAGGAGTTGGTAGGAAAGAAAGTTGAAAAAGAAAAGAGCAGGACCATGAAATCTGATGACTACATCAAGCACGTAAAAGCATAGAATCCAGTTCATAAGTTGCTAGTAATTGCATGTTACGGACTCTTCACTCAAAAACATTCTCAGCTTTCTGAAACTAGATGCAGGTTTAAGAAAAGCCCGCTCCTCATGAAGCCGCTCTTGATCAAACGGGACTCTACCACCAGCCACATTAGATATCCGATGATGGTTTAACCTTCTCTTTCAAGAACTGCAATATGTGCTCGCGTTTCCAGTTATCAATTCTGCAAAATGTACCAAAGACATTAGATAACCAGAGAACTTGCTGTTATTGCACATTAGTGCATAGGAAGATGCAATGCAGGGTACTAACTAATCTTTGTTTTTTTTAACTTGGGCCGACCTTAGGCGGGCACACCTCCTAAGTGCAAAGGAAGTCACCAGCCTAGGTCATGGGCCTCCTTGATCGCCCATTGACCCCGTCTAGGTAAGTCCTAACTGACCTTTGTAGAAAGTCAAATAAATAGCTGAACTCCAGGAATTGCAGCTTTTGCTGCTCCTCATACTCAGGCTTCCCAAGGGTACAAATCAGAATGCCCTTAAGGGATCTCTGAAATTGGTCAGCATGTGACACACTCATGACCCAAAGGTTGATCTTCTAGAGGCAACTAAAAGACTGCTTATCAGTGTGCTCAATACAGGTATGTTTCCCAAGCATGAAACAGAAATTCATATGAAAGAGCACGATTTCAGAAAATGTATCAGAGCACAAGGATCCTGATGGGCAATACTTCTCATGCTCAATGCACTTTAATAAAGACAACATAGAAATAGGAAATCGGCTGTGAAACACACATAACACAAAGGAAAGAGGGGAAAAGGAGACAGGAAGATGACCTAATGGTTTCCATGTGCTCTCCATGATCATCCAACATGATCAACTTTGGCGGAGAATTATATGCATATTGAATTTTTACGCAAGGGAACTTATCCTTTTCTTCTTCAATGAACCCAACGACTTCAGGATAGAAAACCAGCTTTCTCATGCAGACTTCCAAAATTGCTCCAGAATAAACAACCTGCAATCACAATCAGAGTAGATTAGAAGTACCATTTCAGAAAAAAAGGGCATCATTTCAAGAGTGTTCATGATTTACTCTAGTCATTAGTTGACTGTCGTGAGATATGTTACGCGGCGCCTTCCTGAGAGTCCTTGGAAGGGCGACGTAAGGCTAAGCAACTGATGTCAGTACAGTTGTTGTCCGCCAACTGAGGTCCCCTCCGTACGCTAGACTAGATTGTCAGTGCCGTACGGGAAAACCAATGTCAAGAGCAATTGAGAGAACATGAATGAGAATTGAGAATGAAAGAAAGCTTGATTGCATTAATGAAAGCTATTACAGAAAGGCAACGCGGTGTCGAGGGGGAGAGACACCAGTACAGCGAATTGTTTGCTTGCTAGAAAGTTTGATTGTTTGATCCCCCCCTAATAATGCTTAAAAAAAATAATCCAAAGCTACAAGACTAGACTTGATTAAGCTAGAGAAACATAATGAAATTACATGGAATAAAACTACTCTATATTTACAATGAAAAAGACTTAGTTTGCTATAAGGCAGAAAACAGGGCCGTTGTCGGCAGCATAGTCTTTGGCATCAGGATCTGCGCGCGCGGCATTGTCTGCGCGCGCGGCGCTGTTGGCATCTGCCTGCGGTTGGGCGCTGGCGAGGGATATCGGTGGGGCGACAGAGGCACATGCGCGCTTGTCACTTGGCGCGACCAAGACCACGGGGCCGTCCGTGGCGCTAGGCATTGGAAGGCTTGCTAGGACGCCACGGGGCGCGCCCAAGGGGTCATGGGGCACGGCTGGAAAGCCGCCCATGACATTCTCCCCCACCTGAGTTGGCGACGTCCTCGGCGCCTTACTTGCAAGATAATCTTCAATTAGGCTCTTGTAGGCTTTGAGGTTTGTTCCCCTCTCCCAAGTGTTCTCCTCTGTATCACAGCCCTGCCATTTCACCAAGAACTCCTGGTGATCTTTCCTTGAGGCATGAATCACTCTATCATCAAGGATAGCTTCAACACGCCTTTTCCCGGTTGAATTGGGCCCTCGAATACTCGGTATTGTGAGCTGGCTCCTTGAAGGGTCCTCCGTGTCTTCCCGAAAAGGTTTCAGGAGGCTGATATGGAAGATAGGATGAATTTTCCACCAAGCTGGGGTATCCACCCGGTATGCAACTTTCCCAATACGCCTTTCAATGGACAAGAGTCCAAT